ACACACACACACACACACACACACACACACACACACACACACACACACACACACACACACACACACACACACACACACACACACACACACAGAGAAGAAACAGTCACACACACAAAGAGCAAAAGCACATTTATGTTTCTCCCACATTACTCATAAGAGTGATATCAAGTCAAGTTTTAAATTACCCCAAAATAGCAAATTACAAATTTTCCTCAGAGGGTTTGTCCCTCTTCACTCAGACATTCACTCAGATACAGAGACCTTCCCTGGAAAAACCCTTTATTGGTGAAATAAAAGGAAGAACCAACATAAAGGGCAACAGATGAGGGATCTCTCTCCATATAGAAAGTGCTGTTCTTCTATTAATGAATTACTGTTAATCTCTAATGACAATGACATGAGGCAGCTCATCAGTGTTGTCTTCTCTTTGTTAAGTGATTTTTTTCTTTATTGATAGGGCAGTGTAACTGTGAACTAGGGAGAGAGCTGGGTCAAAACTGAATCTGCAGCTAAAGTATCCGTATTAAGTGAGAGATGGACAGAAATAAACTCTTCAGTCTTTTTCTAAAGTCAGTCTTCTCCATTAAAGTCTCTTTCTTTGACTTTAACAATATAAATAAATACATCGAATCTTGCAAACATTTTCCTCATGACACTGTAAGTTTGACAGTTTGTGGTGATATATGGTGTTATATCTTTCATTGATATTTTCCTTTTCAATAACTGTCAAATTTGTTGAAGAGTAAAGATTTGAGAGCTCAGTTTGTGAAGTGATTTTGTGTCATCAATTAAAATGAATCAAAACTGAAAACCATAAATAATTGCTCATGTAGAGGTTCTTAAGGTTTAAATTAAAGCAACACATATATATGAAAACATGTTTCCTGACTTATTCGACTCAAACATTGACCAGCTGACCACATTAAAAATAACACTGCTGGCAAATATGTCTTTTTGGGGGGGGGGGTTTGCTCACAAGGTCTGCTGACAAAATAAAAAATCTCCAGTTTCTCCCCAAAATAAAGTGTGGTGCTGTTTTTGAAGTGTGAGGATGACACAAACGTGAGAACACCCAGAGCTTTCCACTTTTGGCTGCAGTTCACACTCATGTGTGCTCCAGTGAAAAATTGTTCCTCCCATCCCTAAAAATTACTCAGTTACAGACACAGAGGGCGACTTGCTGTCACTTTGCTTTTTCTTTGTTGGTAAAATATACAGTAGATCTTACTTTGAAATTACCAGAGGTCAGTGATGAGAAACATCCCACGTCCTTGTTTAAACATCTGTGTGTAGGTGTCAGCCTGTGTGTGTGTGTATATGTTCTAAGACATGTTTGAGTCCATGTATACAAGCCTGCCAGTTTATTTCTGTCCGTGTCTCATTGTTAGGTTGGATGTGTGTGTCCACATGGCCTCTAATGATGATGAAATGTGTTGTTAATGTTGTAGGTTATTTCAGTCAACTGACAGTTGTCGTAGAGGTGGGTGTATTGTGTAATCTGTGTGTGTGTGTGTGTGTGTGTGTGTGTGTTTAATTGGACCTCCCTGAGCCAGTCTCCAGGTGACGGGACTCATCTGTTCTTTCCCTGATTAAGGACAACAGATGGACTGGTAGCTACACACTAACACACACACACTCACACACACACTCATGCACATGATGCATCGTCAAATACACTGAACCTACACATATTGTACAAATCACATGCCCTGTAATCAATACCAAATACTCATAGATATGATGATATCCATGGATCATGCACAAATTACCAAGATGCCTCAGTTTGTTCAGTCTTCATAATTATTGCCTTTCTCATCATCATGGTCATTTACGCAGGAAAACTCTGAATCCCCCGCATCCTTCTGCAAATCATCCACATGCTGTCTCTTTAACTTGACATCTCCACTGTCCTCCTCCATCTGTCGAATATCATGACTTCATTTATTCAGCCAATGAGGCTAAAGACAAAAAAAAAGAAAAAAGAGTCAAGGAAAACATGAGGATGAACCAACAATGTGACTTGTTGAGAAATGTGTTTCCTTTTCTGTTACCTTTTCAGTTACCTTATTAATATAAAATTGATTTTAAACATTTTGAAAATACTTGATTTGTGAATCATTATCCTCAGAAAAAGTCACATACTCAAGATACAGTAGAAAAAACAAACTTTAAACTTATTTGAAGCACACAACCTCAACCGTGCCTATACAGTCATTTTGCAAACACAAATTTAAAGGAGGGAAATTGAAGACAGAGAAGGCAAAAGTTTTTTTTTCTCCTCTCTTTGCTTGATTTATGATACAGACAATTGCATGTATGTGCATGTATACATTATTGTATGC